ACTGCGGTCAGTGGGAATTCACCGAAGGGCAACCCTACTGTAAACTTGCAAGGAGACCAAGGAGGAAGCTGCCCAGCTCTACGCACAAGGGCCCTTTCCCCCAGATCTGAGCTCACCGGTGAGACAAGGGGGAAGGCAAAAGCATCTGCGGTGCCCGCGTGCAAAAATCTGGGCAGAGACGCGCTGAGAGATACTCCTTTCTCCTAAAGCAAGTTGCTTTACGTGGTCCTTCACTGCACTGTGTTCACCTTTCCAGCCACCTTGGTGTTGCTGGTATCTTCAGTGGCCACGGGCTCCTTTGATGGTACTGGGTGAGGGCTCAGATCATCAGAGCAAGTTGAGGGGGGTGGTCAGTGCCAGCCAGGCCTGGGTTTGCATCCCAGCTTGGACATTTATTAGCTGTGCAACCCTGGCTGAGTCTGCTCAGCTTCTCTGAGCACTTCTGCTGTAAGTCTACAGAGGTCTGACGCTGTACCCTCAAAGACTCAGGGCCAGGCACCAGGACCTAGTTTCTGTATGGAGCTCAACACAGTTCCGGGTCTGCAGCAATCCATCAGGACACGGGCAACTCTTATTTCAGTAGCTTTCTGATCCAAGTTTGTATTCATTTTTTATCGCTGTCATCGCAAATTTCTATAAACTGACTAGCTGCAAACAGTACAAATGGATCACTCGCTAGTTTTGCCATGGCTCTGTGCGCTGGCAGTGGGGTCAGCAGGGCTGTGTTTGTTTCTGAGGTCAGCTGCATTCTTTGGCTGTGGTCTTCCTCTTCGTCTTCAACGCTAGCACCAGCAGGCCGGGTCCTTCTCGCCTGGTGTCACTTTCACCTGTCTTCTGCATCCCTCTTCCCCTTTTCAGGACCTTGTGATCTCATGGGGCCAGGACAGCTCCCTATCTCAGTGTCAGCTAAAAAGACACCTGCGCTCCCCCTTGCCATGTAATATAACATAGCCATGGGTTCCAGAGACATTTGGGGGCCGGTTATTACATCTTCCATCGGCTTAGGATGGAGAGCAAGGGGAGGCATCGCTTCTCCCTTGGGAAGTCACTGCCCAGCACCAACCAGTCCTAAGAAAAACCTGCCCTGGGGACCTACCGCTTAGTCAGGACTCCTCTCCCATTCTCTCTTGGCGGGGGGACCTCTGGCCTGGATTAAACTCTCCCTCAGATCGGGCCTGAATCCATGAAGGCACTGCTCAGTGCCAGGAGGGCTGCTTTGTTTTAAAAAATCACAAAGCCAAGCGGTGCCTGGGCTCTAGGAGCTCTTGTGACACTTGGCAGGGACAGAGGGCTGGGTTTGGCAGGCTGCTCAAATACCAGGTTGCATAGTTACATCCTGGCACCGTGGGACTTGCCCCGGGAACTGCCTCCTGATTCAGGCTGAATTAGGGTGGCTCTCAGTGGCCGGCAGGGCCTCAGTGCAGGCACAGAAGTCTGTCCTACAACTGATTTGGTAACTGACAGGGCCCCAGATGTTCCCTATCAGAAGGGCCATCAAACACTTGTCACATGAAGGAAACAAAAATCTCTCCTTTCTGTTTGGTGTGCTCGACTGATGCAGGAGGGCAATTTGCATTTTGCTCAAGTCGCAGGCCAACTTTTTACCAAGTGGCTGCTGCTCTTTGGTCTCCAGGAGGCTTGAAGTAATATGGCTTCACTGCCCCAGTGCGTAAAAGCCACTTCTGTTGACGAGCACTGAATGGTTCCGAAGACAGTTACCAAGCAGTTCCAGAGTTCTCCCGGCCCAGTTTTCACATCCAGCCTGACTTCTGTCTCCTGTTCTCTCAGTGCTGTGCAGCTGACCCTGGGGTGCCACATAGAGGGACCAACTCCCTGCCTCTGCCCATCCTGTGCTAAAACACAAGGTGGGTAAAGCCAGATGAGCACAGTGACAGTTTAGAGTGACAGGAAAGTGACCCCAAGTGGAAATTCCCCCGAGCTGAGCATTCTCCCTGCAGTGCGAGCACAACCTGCTGGAGCCCGGGGATGACGGTGCAGCTAGGAGCTGGCGGGTGTTCAGCAGCCCTTTTACTGTCTGCGCCGGTCTCTCTCACCCCGCTCGCCACATTTCTCCTCCTCCCCAACTGCCCTTCCTGTGCCTGTTATCTGGGAGCCATGAGGCGTCATAAGCACCTCCACTGTTCCTTTTGATCCTCCCTTCTCAGGCGGCTGGCTCTGGTTTGCTGGAAGTAGCCCCTGGATCACTATCAGGAAAGAGCTAGGCTGGCCATCCTGAAGAGTGATGGGAGATCAAGGGCAGATCTGGCATTTCAAGTTTGCTATCTTCATTTATTATTTCTCACAAGCCAGCTGGTGACACGCAAGACTCACAAACTGACATGGTCCGTCTATCTCCCAGGCTCTGAAGGTACACACTGCTATCAGTTGCTTTTAATAACCCTAAAGAGACCCCAGGCACATCCAGCTGGAAGCAGCCCAGGTCTGTCTGCGAGGTCATCGTCCTTTATGGTCTTAGGGAAGTGGCTGCTGTCCCCCTGTTCTGCAATGCTGGGGTTAATGGTTTTCTGCCTTTCTTATGCATTTCTTCCCCTTGCTGGGACCTAGTCAGGTCTAATCTTTCAGTACTTTTCCTATTTCCTGTGAAGCAGCAGAACTGGGCTTTCTTTTCATGTAGAACTTCCTGGAAATATCTTAGGTTTGGGAACCTCCTTTTTTTTCAGGTTAAAAGGGAAGAATTCTGGTTACTTATCTAATTTAAATTGTGTAAAGAACATTTTTCCAATTACAGTGACAAGAACAGTATTGCCCAAATTACAGCCATTTGCACGTTCACTATGTGTGATATTCTTCCTCAATACTTTACATTCACTTTTCTCACACTATACTAGCCTTGCCTTAAGCAACATTTGTGAAACCATGGGTTTGATGTGCTAGTTGTAAGTTTAAAAGACAATATTATAAATTAAAATATAAATGTTAAAAAGGAATACTTCTATATCTACTTATCTAAAATTATTTCCTGTATTACTAACAGTAGCTCCCACTTGGTGAAACACTCATACAGGATGTAGTTTTTGTAAGGAATTTCCATAAAGAATTTCATAGAAATAAACACATTACTATTTCACCTTAGCCAAAGAGGAAGCCTTATTATGGTCTGTTCACAATAACTTTGGAGAATAAAGACTAAAGCATATTTTAGAACAAGGTAAAATAGTTCCCTTTCTATAGGCTGAACTTACATAAAATAGGAAGAAAATTATAATCAATATTACATACTATATTTTTTAAAGAGCCACTTGAGTTCTTCCTTAAAATCTTGGTTAACCATTCAATTTCAAATGATCACACCTGAGTGTGTGTGTGTGTGTATAGTGTATGTGAAAAAGAGAATATTGTTGTCCATTTGGTTCAAATATACAGGCGACATAACAAATGTTACCTATCTTTCCAACTCCACCTCCAAATCTTCCATCTAGCTCAGCTGTGATCCACAATAATTCCATTAACCCTGCAAAGAAGCATTAAATTAAACAGCCCAGCTCAGATTCCTCTTTTGCTACAAGGGGAACGCACCTTAAGGCCTATGCTTATTATGCTAATAGATTTACTAACCAACTACATGATTACAAGAGAGCACAAATTAGCAAAATAATACAGCAAGTCTTGAACTCAGGGATGGGTGGGGTGGGGTGGGGTGTCATAGCAACTGATTTTTTCCCCTGATAATATTTACTACAAAGGTTTTAGTTATGAAGACTTTAAGCCTTCAGAAGAGCAATTCTCAAATAGTTTGTGTTTCTATGCAATTTTCAAACCAATATTTATTAATTTCAGGAGGGAAAAATGACAGCTTGAGCTACAACTTTGGCAGTCTTTCTTTATTGCTGATACAAATGGGCAACCTGGACACGGGGACTCTGAGGAAGATACAGTGTGTCCATGGTAGAGACTGGGCCAGGTCCCAAGTTCCTGATGACAAATCCAGTCCTCTCTGCACCAGCTCAAGTTCTCTAGCCTTCCGCTCACAATGTGAATGAGAAGACTCCTCTTCAGCAAATTCCTTTTCTGGGTATGATGTTAATGTCTGTCTCTTTAGCATGCTGCCCGTGTCTCTAAAGCCAAGCACTACAGAAGTCCCCTAGCTCTTTGTAGAAAGCAGGTGCTGCCAGGAGAGCAGCAGGAAGTTGACCTTATGTTACTACTGAGCTTTCTGATACAAGAGTGAGCACCCTAAAAGCACATGGTCATTTCACACCACTCACGGCTCACATCTAAATTCCATGTTATGTCTCATCAACTCAGAAGTGGAAAGAAGTCAGGTATGCCAAGGAGTAGTAGAAATCTGTACTGGAATCCAGAAATAGAGCACACTGGAGCTGGAAGGGATCTTAGAAATCATACCGTTCAAATCGCTCCTCCTTCAATAGGGGTTGCTTGAGGTCATAGAGTCAGTGTGTGAGAGTCAGGACTACAAACTTGGAGGCCAACAGTCTTCTTTCTGGAATGTAATGTGTCCAAAACTCTTTTCTTTTGACTGTGATAACAGTGAAGGCCGCTCAACCCCTCTATGCTGCAGACACCTGCATCCTTAGACCCAGCCTCCTATGACCAGGCAACAGGAGACCTGGGTAAAGCCTGCTCAGCCAAGGCCAGAATGCCTTTCTGCACACAGGCCTCCTGTGCATTGGGAGGTACAATGCCTAGAAAGCTGATTAATGCAACAGGAAATAAGGCAGATCCCTGGGGCCTGCTGAACTGACAAAGATGCAGTAGCAACAGTCAAAACAACAACAGAAACTCTCCAAGCCTGAAGTGCCTGAGCTCGCACTGTCAGGGGCCCAGCCTAACAGAAGCAGGGTGGAGAACAAAAGCAGCCCTCTCCTGCCTGCAGTGCCAATTCCGGAACCCAGGCACAGGTATGGCTGCACAGCCACCTGGCCTTTCCTTGGGTAAAAGATGCCCAGAGAGCCACTCTCCCATTGGCATGACCCTCGCTTCTCAGGCCACTCGACTCAGCCAGCCTCTGGAGGGCTTACCTGTCGGCGTCACCAAGGCCCAGGGAGGTATTTCGCTGCAGGGTCTCCCGCACCACCGCCATCCCGTCGGGGAGCCGGTTCAGGCGACGCGTGTAGAGGCCCAGTCCACCATCGGTCATGTACCTTTAAAAGGAGAAGAGGATGACACACACCGCACACAGCCTTGTCCCTCGAATGGGAAGCCCTGCAGAAGGCTCCAGGGGGAAGGAGCTGAGGATTCCCTGAGGTTCTGCCACCAAGCACAGCCCCAGGTAAACTGATTCAGCCTAGACTAGACAATCACCAGCTTGCTGGAGCAAAAAGAGAAAGAGAGAAAGAAAGAACTCAGGTTCATTAACCCCAACTCACAGGAATCTATGAAGCAGAAGGAAGCTAGTGAATAAAATTAGCTGTTGGATGTATTCATGACATACTTTTTAATGTCAGCAGTTATACAAGCAGGTGTTTTAGCTAAGTCGTACAAATGGAACTGACAAATCATAGGCAAAACTCTTACAGGTAAGTGCGGGGAGGTTTAAGAGGAAAGATGAAGGCTAGAAGAGACTATTTACCATCAGAGGCAGTTGTGTCTCTATATCCTGGGATTTTTAATCAACTGTGGGAATATCACAGCCAGGGCGTCAAAGTCAGATGAATACGAAAGTGCCCTGCAATTTGTATAAGACAGGATAAGTGGTAGGGGTTTTTTGTGGTGGTGCTGGTATTGTAGATAGGTAAGTTAATTAGATGTCTTGCAGATAGACAGGGCTGGGCCCTGAAGTAGTCAATAGGAAAGAAAATCAAGACACATTCACTGAAGGTCAGCATTATAAAAAATACAAAAGGTACTACATTTGCCTACTTCCCGCAGAGATGAATAGCAGGGATTGATATTCTAAGTAGACCCCAATCTCCCTAGCCCATTTCCTTTCCAGAAATTCCTTGTTCATTTGTGCCTATGCTTGCTCTGTGACTTGTTTTCCCATTTGATTCCTATTTAATCAATATTACCCGGGTGACTGCATTTGTAATCCGATTGGTTGATGATGGTTTTGTCCCACCTCGTGACCACCTTGTGAATTTCCATTGGATTTCATTAGTTTGCTATGGTTTTGTCCCACTTTGTACCTGCCCCATCTCGTGGTTTTGTGACATAAAAACCCCACTTTCCAGTCCCCCTTCTGTCTCTCTTAGATAGAAGCTATCTTTCTCTCAATGAATTTTTCCCACTCTTAGCCTTCATTGTTCCTAGAATTCATTCTTCAATCATAGAGAACACAAAGTTGTATTTTGGATATCTAGCAGGTTGAGAGTTATAATATTTCCCTTGTTTGTATTTTTTTTTTGCTTATTTGGATTACTTGCCCTATATGATTTTTTGGATTACCCGATGCCCTATATCAGTGGTGGTAGTGGGAATTGAACTCAAGGTCTTGTGCTGAACTCCATCCCCAGCCCTTCCCCCCATTATTTATATTTTTTATTTTGAGATAGTCTTGTTAACTTGCTAAATTGCTCAGGGTGAGCTCAAACTTATGATCTTCCTGCTTCAGCCTCCCAGAGTGCTGGGATTATAGATGTGTGACACTACATCTGGCAAATAGCAGACACTTTGTGGTTGTCATGGTCTTGAAGTATCTACAATGGTAAGTTTCCCCTCTGGCATTGGTATCTTAAGAGTTTGTCACAATAGTCTGTGAATATCAGCAGATGAAAAGAAGATGTGGAGTTCACAGACAATGCAGTACTGTGCCATAAGGATAAACTTGAGTGGGGCCGGGGATTTAGCTCAGTGGTTCCCCCGCCTGCCTCGAAAGCTCAAGGTCCTGAGTTCGATCCCCAGTACCAAAAAAAGATAAACTTGAGTCATTTGTAGGAAAATGGATGGACCTCCAGGCCATAATGTTAAATGAAATAAATGAGACGGGAGTTTAACTATCGCATGGTTTCTCTCATATGAAAAACTCAAAAGTATAAATAAAGAGCAAAATAAAAGATAGATAAGTTTCTTTCTGAGGAAGAGGCGTCTATGGGGCAGCGTTTGTTGGCTCCGTCCGCTCGCGCTCCTGACTCACGGCTGTTCACGCTCGCCAAGGAATAAGTTGGTCAGGAAGCCGCGCCGCCGCCACGGCTTTTAAAGATACTGGAAAGACACCCATGGAACCTGAGGTGGCGATTCACCGAATTAGGATTACCCTCACCAGTCGCAAGGTGAAATCCCTGTAGAAGCTGTGTGCTGACTTGATCAGAGGTGCCAAGGAAAAGAATCTCAAAGTGAAAGGACCTGTTCGCATGCCTACTAAGACCTTGAGAACCACTACAAGAAAAACGCCTTGTGGTGAAGGTTCTAAGACATGGGATCATTTCCAGATGAGAATCCACAAGCGACTGACTGCTTTGGACAGTCCTTCTGAGATTGTTAAACAGATTACTTCCATCAGTATTGAGCCAGGAGTGGAGGTTGACGTCACTATCGCAGATGCCTAAGGCAACTGTTTTAATAAATTGATAAACAATTGTTAAAAAAAAAAAGATAGATAATAGGAAGTAGGGAGAAGGAGGGGGAACAGATGGAGGGAGGTGGGAGAGAGGAGAAGGGAAGGAGGTGAGAAAAGAATTGAGAGGTGTGGCGCGCCTGTACCAACTCCCCATGACGAATGGGATCACATACGTAAATGTGTATTGCAAACTTGCATTAATAACCAAATCCAAAGCCTGGGAACAGCACTGCTGCTAACATGCTCTCCCAGATCTCTGGAGGCGCCCAAAGCTGTCTGTTACAGGACCTCTGGAACTGTCTGATAGGAAGCTGACTGGCCCAGAGTAGATGAATCCCAACATCCCAGCCCCTAGAAGCCGCGGCCCCTCCTGCCTACCCGCTTCAATCCCTGCCTGGCTCCTCTCGGATCCCCCTGCAAGGTATCTGGAAGCACAGCATTTTATATCTCCAGTCCAGCAATATGCTGCCAAAGCCCCAGTGTCCCTGTCTTTCAACAGTGTCAGCTGAGCTAAGCCCTGGCTATTGCAGGGCAGGTCCCGAGCATTTCCGAGGCTGCAGTCTCTCCCACCCGTGGCTGCGGCTCCTTGGAGATTTCTTCTTGGAGGAGCAGAATTTTGAGACACTGTGAGTTTGCCAGAGGCAGCATGGCCGAAGAGAGGGCAGGGAGGAAGCCTCACTGGGCCACCTTGTGTGCTGAGCAGCTCCGAGTGTGGCTTGCAGGAACCCCCCTGGGGCAGCTTCCTGGAGATCTAGTCCCAGCTGAATGTCCCTGTGTGCTCTCCCTCTCTTTATGACATTAGTGACCCTGGATGATGCAACGCCAACATAATAAAAAATCTGCTCCCATAAGTCAAACAAGTGGTGGTGGTTGTGCCAACAAAACAGTAGGGTAGACTAAGTTTTTCACACAATGGTATCATTTTAAAACAAAAAAGTACTCTATCCTAAAACCACTGAATTGTACACTTTATCATTACTATTATTATCACTATGATGATGATGATGATGATTATTTGCAGTACTGAGGATTGAAGCCAGGGCCTTCACATGCAACTACATCCCCAATCCTTTTTAAAATTTATTATTTTGAAACAAGATCTAAAATGCTAAGTTGCCCAAGCTGGGCTCAACTTGCCATCCTCCTGCCTCAGGCTCCCAAGGTGCTGGAATTACAGGCATGCATCACCAAATCAAGCTGGAACTGTACATTTTGAAGTGGTGAGTTTTATGGTATGTATATTATATCTCAATAAAAACTACAATATAAAAGCTGCTGATTACAACTATAGTTAGGTAATTATCTGTATAACTGCATTTTACTGTTTCCCTCACAGCTCCTGGAAAGCAGGGCGTACCCATATTTTGTTTACATCTACATCCCACATGCACAGCTGATTCTAGGTACTCACACTGTTTATGTGGGGTGAATGAACACATGGATGAAAGAAACACAAAGCGTTGGCCACAAAGCAAGGTTAATCAAAAACTTTCTGCAAGGACAGCGATAATAGGGGTTTTCTCTCTTAAATGTTGCAAACTTGAAATTTAAGATACACAGCTATTCCAGGCTTGGTGGTACACACCTGTAATCCCAGCACTCAGGAGGCTGAGGCAGGAGGATCGCCGTGAGTTTGAGGCCAGCCTGGGCTACATACTGAGTTCAAGGTCAGTGAACTACACAGAGAGACATTGTCTCCAAAAAAGACACACAGCAAGGCAAACCAAACTGTCTACCTGCCACTGTATCTATCATGCATCCATTTTTCCATCTGTCTATCAAGCCACACACACACACCCCGATAGTTGTAGTGACTCAGGGTACGGCAATGGGCTGCTGCATCCAGCCCACTGCGAGTGCACAGAGAGGAAGCAAAAGCAAAAGCAAAAACTCTCCGTTAAAATGCCAGAGGCTGCACTCTTGATATCCAACGTCCTTTCAAGAATACGGCTCTTCAGAACACAATCTCATGGGCCATTAGGCACAGCAGTTACATTTGGACTTTAGCAAAGTCTGGCCAGCCAGTTAGATAAACAAAATTTTTTTGATTGGGGAGATCTTGTCAAAGGACAAACGAACTAATTTTAGCATTCATTTCCCTGCTGGGTTTTTATTGCTGGGGGAACAACACATAGGGCTGGGCAATTACATGCACCCAGGGGGTGGAGAGGGTCGGCATGTGCAGACCTGGGCTCCCTGCTGGGGCTGTGGAGGGGAGCTGGCTGTGCCAGAGACGGAAAGCCAAGTGTGCTGCCACCCTGCCCTGTAACACTCAGGTGCAGTGTGGTGTCGCCGAGAAATGACAACCAGTGGCAGAGGGAGGGCCCAGAGAGATGGGACAGAATCTGCTGCGGGGAATTGTGACTTTATGTGGCAGAGTGGAGGGGAAGGTAAAGGAGAGTCCAGGGTCTTCTTCCTTCTCAAATGTGCATCAAGAGCGAAAGCCAGGGAGCTCAGTGCATCTGCTCTGACAGTGACCTGATGATACCAGCTGCGAGTACTTTTCTTTGAGGTGTGGGTCTGGGAGCAAAGCAGAGGGGCCAGGAAAATGGGGAAATTACCTCTTCATCCAGATGTTTATAAAAATGTACTCAAATATATATATATATATAATTTTTTTTTCAGAGTCTTCAGTAGTTCAGGCTG